AGACATGAATAATTTTAAATTCTCTCACCATGCTCTGATCCAGAATATTTGACAGCGATCCACCTTCTGTTATCTTTGGAAGCATGACTTTAAGAGTTTTAAGGTGTGAAGTAATCTGATGCATAGCCCAACTAAAAAGAAGTCCACCATCATAATTTTGTTCACAGCCAGAAGTATCATCAGCAAATATTGCCCGATATTGGTTAACAACATCGAAAAGATGCATTCTATGACAGCTTATCATCCCTTTTAGATACTCATAAGCATTTCTCTGATCCAAATCCTCAAGAATTCCAGTGAGCCATGATTCTCGGCATCTCAAAAACTGAACCATAAAATAATGCTGTCAGAGGGGGACACATGAAAGTAAAACTGAGCAGGGGGGCAGCAGGGAGTATACTCAAATGATAAAAGGAGGGAATGGGAAAGAAATTGGTGAAGTAGCTCTATAAAAGTTACCTGCAATCGCATTTCATACTCACTAAACACTCCTATTCGGCGTAAATATCCAATAATCCGAAGGCACTCTGGTAACTGCAATACACAGATCATATACTTGACTAAAATTCCAAATAACATCAAGTTACGTTCAAAGCATATGTTCAACATCACTTCCAAACAAATACCTGAATATTAGAACGAAGCTTCTGGAGAAGCTGAGAGAGAAGAGATTGGGTTGTCTGCCTGACTTCTGCAGCCAATGCTTGAATAACAGGTAATCTTTCAAAAGGAGAAACACAAATCTCAGTCAGCTGTCTTCCACAAGTTACAATGGAAGGAAATAATAGGGGTTAACTCACTTCGGGTGCATGGTTGATAGTTTGCAAACAAATGCTTCTAAATCAAGAGCTTCATCATAATTTCCATTCCTTACACATCTGCAGAAAAAAATATTGAATTTAATGACACACTCTAGCATGTATTCTGTAAGACCAAGTACCTCACGTTTACAATTGTTCAAGCACATACGTGTCCATAAGCTGAGGAATCTCAAGCAAGTCAAGCAAGGTACTGTGATTTGCTAGCAGAGTCTGGTTCATCTTCCTTTTCTCCAAAATCTGTTCTGCAGATTCAATGAACTCTGTGCAACCAGATGTCAGGTTTGGGATCTCAGTTATCTGCAAAAGCCAAATCCTATATATAAGCATGCCTGCAAAAGAAGCTTTCTAAGAATTAACAAGAAAACTTAGTAGATCAATGCATCACCAATTCCAATCTTCATAAGATTCCTAAGTCATGTAAGGCCACTTTATTTTCTCTTTTAACTCGAGAGTTTCCACTTTGTACCTTTGTGGTTGCCATGAGATTGATTCCATCTTAGAAGTAGAGCAACCTTATCTAGCTCATTGGTCATCAAGATATACAGGTTCTGCCTTCTTTCTCCTCTTATTGATTTTGTACATATAAATATAGACAGAGAAGCAAATACATCAAATGACAAAAAACTGTTCTTAATTCATCACTCAGCGAGAAAATCCAACAGTATGCCCTCACACTTTATCTCAAGATGCTTTCACCACTAATTCAGACACCACATAAATGGAGCTTTTTTTCAAGGCAACCACTATCTCAAGATCCACCAGATAGACCAGGATTGTATAGAATGCCTGTACTAGTCCATAAAATCACACTTCTTATTACCTAATTTTAGATCCTAATGAAACACCTCTCCGATTGAAACTTTCAGGAGTGTGCAAAGCTCTTTTAAAACAATTATCGAACCTCCTTGAATTTTGGTCCCAAAACGCCAGTTGCAAATTAAAAGAAAATGTTCGTAAATGTTCAGTTGCATGCATTTTACTCTTTCCTAATCTCATAATGTATCCTACTTCAAAATCAGTGCATACCAATCAATCAGATCAAAGGACATCTCAGTGAAGCAAACAATTAAGTCCCAGAACCTTAAAAAAATTAATATGCGATTGCATTTATTAAGAAAATGTAATTACCAGAGATTCAAGATGCTTATCGATAGAAGTAACTTCCTCTTTGATCGCAACCAACGCATCGGAGGCAGCAATGAAAGCGCGGTAATTACCAACCGCCACTTCTTGCATTTGCCTCTGAAGCCTCTCCGCATCAACTCGAAGAAGCTCAGGCTCCTTTTATTTTAATAAAAATTACAAAAACAACAAAGACGATTCAATATCAAACAACATATACAAAGAAATGAATAGAGCAAAAGAAAAATGAAAGAAACGGACCTTATGGAGCCGATCGAGAGTGAAAGAGAGGAGCTCGGAGACATAAGGCTGTTGAGAGACGGAGGCAAGAGGGAGAAGACCGGCCATGGCCGACGTCGGTGAGGCCAATGTGGGGAGGACGTCGTCTCCATTCTCCAGTTCCATTACCATTGCAAAATTAGGGTTTTTTTGGATCCTCTCTCGGAGAGAGAAACAGAGCCGGAATCTGTTAGACGTAACGGAGATTGAGTTGCGCTCTGTACAGCTTTAGCTAGAGCTTTGTCTCTGGTTCGGTTTTGTGGATCTGAGAGGTTTTGGTACTGAGGCCTCCGAGGGGTGAGGTGCGGGCTAAATCTTTGGCCATGTCAGCATTTCTGGTGGGGACCCGATTTGCACCCGCTCGAATTTCATCGGACGACCTTAACCGTTGGATTTTCTGCATTTCTTTCTCTCTTTTTTTCCCCTCTTATTTTGGAGGAAATAAATTTATTCTTACTAAAAAATAAGGTGGTCATCTAAGAAAATTAACTTGTAACATATTCTTGATTCTTAGGGATGTTAACGAGTAAAATATTCATGATTATTTAGATAATTTAATTAGAACTTTATTATTTATTATTGGTTTAATTTTTTTAAACCAATGATTTTAAATTTTAACACAAACAATTAAAAAGATGATTTAAAATAACATTATACTATGATTTATGAATAAGTTAATTTATATTCTATAGTTTATATTTTTTGTTATTTCTCTTTTATTTTTTATAAAAATATAAATAATTAATAAAAAATCGATTAAATAAAGAATATTAGTTCATTTATTAATGAAGCTATGCTTTGTGGTAGATTATCGGTGTATAAAAATTATATGCTGCCTGTACATTAAACATATGTTATGTATGGAGGAGAAATTATAGGGAATATATAGGAAAAGAGAAATAGAAGTTTTTTTTTTTTTTGAAAATTTTAATATGCAAATTTATTAGAAAACGAAGGGAAAAAGAAATGACTTTAGTTGGTGAAATAGATTAATACTTCTATTACTATTTTCATATGGTTAGAAGGGCAAGCAGTGTAAAGCATGTGGTTTATGAACAAAATGTATTCCTCAAAATTTGCAGCGGTGGATTGGAAGAAGACCAGGCAAGATTGACTTCTGAGTTCTCAAGCAGTTGATTGATTTCACATTTTGCTTAGTTATTCTGCACTTCATTTTTCACTTACAGCCTCATCTGCAATGAGAAATGAAGGTCTTGATTTCAAATTAAGAAATTCCCAGCATTAAGAGAGCGGCTGATTGCCTTCTCTTATACTTAATTGAACCACAACAAGAGGAATAGCAAATTAGCAATAACTTGATACTAGGTTTATTTCTAAACAAACAGCAGAAAGGTAAGAGAAAATTAATACACAGAACAACCCAAATGTCTTTCTGATTTTATACATATATACCAGTGAGACCCCATGTTTTCCTGTAGAACATCTTGTAACATTTCCACCTCTTCACCCTAGTAACCCCAAAAATATACAAATTCAACAATGCAGTAACACAACATGGGAAAGTACCAACATTACAAGTGACAAGGAGGCCTGAAAAGGAAGAGAAGAGGCCTTTGATGCATAGAAGTAGTAGTAAGGATAGGGGTACTCATGGGGTCCTCCTACTGTAGGTGGCCCTTGACCTGGAGGTGCATTGTAGAAGTACTTAAAAGGAGGGGGTGGACTGCCCTTTGAGGAATATGATGAAGGTGCTGGTGGAGGTGGCCGTGGCAGCGGTGGAGATGGAGGTGATACTGGTTCTGATGGTGGTGGGGAGTGATTCTCAGATTGTGGTGGGAAGTAATAATAAGGCACCGGTGGTGGCGAGTGGTGAACTGACGGTGATGGCGGTGGAAATGACTTCAGCAGTGGCGGAGGTGGTGGTGAACAAATGACTGGACATGTTGCACAATCACTGATGCACAGTAAGCCGGCTGATGGTGCCCCCATTTCATCCTCATATGTTACTCTAGCTAGCATGACCACGCACATGATCCCAACTTTCAAGAGCAAGACAAGCCATTTGCTTCCTTGGGATAGTCGACTAGAACCAAAGCCCATCTGCGATTCTATAGCATAAGCTGAAACAAGTTGATGTTATGCCTTTGGTGAATTGCTAGACAGAAACCTGTTATACTTATCTGCTATATGACTTTATCAACACAATGCCAAATGAAGGCTATGCACTAGATAGCCCACTTTACCCTTTACATGCGTGTGTATGTCTCTTCTAAAAGTCTGAATTAGATGCTTCCTTGATGATGGTTTGTGATGTATTGCTGTAAAGGGGGAAGATTTACTTCCACAACTTTTTCCTTTGATCTGTAAAAAGGATTTGGATTAAACAATGGAAGGACAAAACTTTGGGACACCTAGCAGCTATTTCAATGAAAGGCCAGAAGTACCCTTGGTGACTAAGCTTTGGTCACAAAAGGGTTTGAAATTGGTTACCCTTCCAATATGGTTTTCTTATAGTACTGAAAAAGTGCTGTAGATTGTTTGAAGAAAGAGGATTTTTGGGTACATACTTGTCTTTCGGTGTTGATAGATATTTTTCTGGCATAGTAAACAAGGTTGGAAAACTAACAGGACATGATGAAGTTTCCTTGACAATTACAATTGACATTGGAAATGTTTCCCACTTGGCATTTCTTTTATTCAAAGATAGAGCTAATCACATGCTCATAAGCCTCTGTCTCTATCTCTTTATGATCATGGAAATAAGATAACAAGAGAATGATTAGTTGGGGGACCCAGACAACGGCGTAAAGGCAATATTGAATGACATGGTTAAATATTAGTGCTAATAATCTTCATTATCTGCTTGGATCTTGAAGCTTGTATATTAGTATTCTTTCACTTTCATGGAAGGGGAATCCAAAGCAAAACTTGTTTGGTAATACCATTCCTGCTTTTTTCTTATACCTTTCTCTTAACATAGTTCACCTTTGTGAGCATCAATTCTCTCCTTAGAATGCCACCCTTAACACTTTATTCTCTGCTTGTGCTTTTCTTTCAAGGGGGGCTCATTAATCTCCGTTTCCCATTGCAGGTTCCAAGGAATTCTTGCTTTTAACAGGATATCCCCGCCAGTGGCTGTTCCATGGAAGAACCAAGTCATGTAGCAATCATCTTGAATAACTTGGGGGGAGTACAGTTTGATTATGTTGACTATCCCACTCTCTGGATGTCCTTGACCATTACTGATGCTAATGATCAAATTTCAAAGCTGAGCAGAAAGCATGGAAGAAAAATTCAACGTTCACTTTTGACTTAGTTCGAGGCATTCTACAGTCCTCTCAATCTTCAGTCAAGGTCGAGCTATCACCTAGCAGGGTAACTGTGATTCATAAGAAAACTTTTCTGAAGCAACATCTTATATTTGGCAAAGATTTACTACATTAATTTGACACAAGTTTCAGGGAATAGTCCTGGAGATTGAAAGTTCACAGTGTACGTCCTGAGTTCTGTTCCCTTTTTGTCTATAGGGGTTGGTTTTGTGTGGGGAATGGGTTTGTATAGCGGTCTTTCCTGGCTTATATGCAGGGGTTGATCCTTGTGTGATTTTGTTATGGCATACCTCAATGTTCTTTTGAAAGGGATATGCCTTGCAAAATCTGTTTGCTGGAGAACTAAGGTTCTTTCAGACCTTTAATATAATTGAACTTTCAAAAAAAAATTGACACAAGTTTCATCTTCCAAGTTAGTAAGCATGGTCAAAACTTGTGTGTTCTGCAAGCTCCTGGATTCTTGTCTTCAAAGTGAAGAAAAGAAAAAAAAATGAAAATGATATTCAGGAATTGAATCTCATGAATATATATGTGTTTCAAGTCTTAACACAATGAAAAGCACCTTGCTTTCTGTTCTATCTAGGCGCTTAGGCAGGGTTGGCACCATACTTCCTGCAATACTCTGTCAAGAAGGTGACAGGTGTTAAGCTCTTCAGGCAAACATTGTTGTTTATCTGATTTCATTACAGGATCCTATAAAACTCACAGGAGAAATATTTACTTCAGGCCATGCTCATCTCTATGGAACAGAAAGAGAAATATCTGTGCCATTAGATGTGCAATGTATCATTATGATTGTAGTGTTGATGAGTGAATTTGATAGAATTTGGAAAAATTACTGAAAGTTGCCATCAGCTCATTGCTAATTTATCTTCTGAGAATAATTATACATCTAGCAACAAGAAAGGAAGCAAGTTTCCAACTCTTAAAAATAATGACTACTATTTGTTCTGCAAGCACAAAATTGAATTATGTTTTACTCTTGCTTTTACAAAAGCAACTTTTGCAAGCACTAAAATGACCCTGAAGATATACACATTTCTGATATCACATTGCATAATCCAGCATCCTTCCCTTCACCATCATGTTCACAGACATTGTTTTTTTTCTTTCATATGTAAGCAGCTTCTTTCTCTCAAATCTTCAATTTCATCTGAAATTTCATTCAGCGTCATCTGGTTTCGAGTCTGGTGTTGTTTCAGTTTCCACATCTGAAGTCTTACTCAAGGATTCCTAGCCATTCAATAACAAAACTATGTAAGAAAACCAGCTTTCAAGAATTGTGTGGAAGGAAGAATTCATAATGTTAAATAACAAGAAATTGGGATGGTTCCTGGATGCTTGAGTGATGTCTTCTAATCAACAGATGCTGTCATAACTATTTCCTGTTTCCTGTCTTTATGTAGCTATAAGCCTTTTGCCCATCATCTAAAAACCTAAACTCTTCATGATATGCATCTAATTAATTGATATCAATTATAGATAAGTCCCAAACCTGACTTGCTGATGATATCCTTGGCCTTGAAAGTGGACTGATCACCATAGAACGTGCCTGGCTGCGACTTTGACTATGATGGCTTCGTCCTTGGCTTTGATTACTACCACTGTGTCCATGGCTATAACCACTACCGCTATGCCCTTGGCTATAACCACTACTGCTGTATCCATAGCTACGTGAGTCAGAGCTCCTTCCAAGTTCTCTTAACCGGTTAAGTTCTGGCAGTATAACAGTGCCAAGATCCGGTCTATCCCTCTTCCTCAGCTCTACACATTTTAGTGCCATTTGAGCAAATGATAAAGCCTCTTCAACTGGCCAATCTGGCACCGCTGGATCAAGCATATCGGCAAAAGTTCCTTTTTCAATGGCCCTTCCAACATGGTGAGCAAGACCCATTGGAGGCTTGGCTGTAATGATCTGGAGCAGCATTATGCCAAGGGAGTATATGTCTGATTTAGTTGTTAGCATGCCTGTTTGTTGATATTCAGGATCTATGTAACAGAATGTCCCTGCTGCTGAAGTCATGTGATATTGTGTTACACTGTCAGCTACAGAAGGTGGAACTAGCCGTGCTAGGCCAACATCACTAATTTTGCTCACATAATTGCGGTCTAGGAGGATGTTAGCTGGCTTAAGGTCTCGATGCACTAGTGGCTCTGGCTTTGCTTGGTGAAGGAATAGAAGGGCAGTTGCAATTTCAGCAGCTATTTTAAATCGTTTCCTCCATGAAAGTGGAGGAGTATGGCCTCTTCGAAATAGCCTATCCTCTAAGCTGCCATGGATCATGTATTCATATACCAAGCATCCATACTCAGGGCAGGCACCAAGGAGAAGGACCATGTTTGGGTGTCTAATGCAGCAAAGGACCTCAACCTGTGCAGGGTTGTAATATATAGAACAGAATATTAGCTTGAATTCAAAGCATATGGATGCCTAAAGAATGACAGGTTGAATAATGTAATTTTTTTTGTAACAATAATGCCCACAACCTCTTTGTTCTCTTCCCACTGAATTTAAATGGTTTTAAGAAAATGAAAATCCTTGTCAGTAATGCCAACATAACACCTTACCTCTTGCTGGAATTGCTTCTTCCCTTGAGCAGCATCAGGTCTTAAAACTTTGATGGCAACAGGAGTGTGATCAAGTTTGCCTTTATAAACAGGTCCATAACCTCCTTCTCCAATCTTCATTGATTCTGAGAATTTTTCAGTAGCTTCTTCAATTTCTTCTATGGTATATTTTCTATACCGGACATCATTATTTGCCAAAGCATTCAAAGCCCGATTCTTTTCGTCTGCCTCTTTCTTGGCTTTCAACTCTGCTTGTCTTCTTCTATGTGCTTCCATCTCTGCTAGCCTCTGTGCTGCCTCAGCTGCTTCAATAGCAGCTTTGCACTTAGCCTTCTCCATCTCGGCAATGGCAAGAGCTGCCTCTTCAGCTAGCCTGGCTTCCTCAAACTTGCGAGCCTCCTCCATCTTCCACTGATGAAGCTCGTTAGCCTGGACTCAGAAATGTCAATTATGTTCTCAAGTTGATTTTCAATGATACCCTTTAGGCATTAGAAAAGACTGGTACGATCATGTCCTGCCTATTTTTGAACTTTATGAGCGCTTTGGATTAATTACATGTAACATCCTTACAATCAGGCAATTTACTTAAACTTCAAAGGACATCCTCCATCCCTTAAACTCCATTTCAGATTACAGTGTTTTTATACTAGTTACCAGATGAATAAGCATTTTTTAACTTTTATCTGCAATAACTTAATTATTTTGCTATTTCTTACTTTGTTGATCATTCCTTCATCAAAACCATCTAATGTAGCCAAACTTGTAGAGAAAATTTCAAATTTTGGATTCCTGAACGAAGTCAAGTGCAAGGTGAAGATTAATTTTAGTTTTTAATTCTTATATTAAGACTAAAGATTTTCTTGGAAGATTTTGTTGACAGAAACTGGAAAGAGGTTCTTTTTTCCTCTAAAAAGTGGAGATTATGCTGGCATAAGATTACCTTTCTTTTGGCTGTAAGAGCTTCTTTGCAAGCTGTGCTGTACATATCCATGGTTTGCTTAAGTTCAAGTTTCAATCTTCTCATTTCAGCTTCTATGTCTCGCTGCAATTCACGGTCGTATCATGTTATCGTATTAGTACTTCTGTCACTAGGCCGGCAAATGCCATACTTTAAAAACGCAATCCACAGTCTATGAATTCTCTTACTGGCACTCAATAGTTAATACCAAAGGCCACTTACCGTACTTTGTGGGAGTGACTCTGAAGGGCTACCTGACACCATTGAGAAATCTAAATCTTGGCCAGAAATATCCATAGATCCAAGGGCAAGTTTTGCTGGAAAATCTGACTCATTAGAAAAAGAATCATGGCTAGTAGAGGACTGTCCTCGGATACTTATATCAATGCTGTCCAATGACAAATTTGCTGGAGAGCTTCTTTGTCTATCACGCTCACGTATAGGTACTTTTGAGGGATTATCCAAGGACAGTCTCTCTGATCCTGCATTTCTCAATGCTCCCCTTGCATATTGTCCTCTGTTTTAAGTAAAAGATACAATAATGTCAACATTAACAGGCAATTAAAGCACAGTAAATAGAACGGGAGACAAACTTTATACTAGTACTAAGAAGAGCTGTCACATTTTCCATCACTAAACTTTTAGTCAATAGCAAGAATGGAACCAACTTTCCCACCTGCTTCCATCATCTTCAATTTGATCCAGTGGAATCTGTGGCGGCATTCCTGCAGATGGTGCCTTGGGTGGGGTAGCAGTATTAGCTACAGGCCGCTGTGCTGTTCTCACTGTCAATATCTTACCTTTGGAAATCACATATACTGAGCAAAACTCTGGTGCAGATTTGATCAAGGTGGTCGGCACGTCATGTTTGAATTTCCTATAAGACAAATAACTGAACTTTGAATTTTTAGTACAAAATGGAGAGAACAAAGTCCAGGAGGTAGGGAATTAGGAAGGAAGAGATTAACCTTGAAATAGCGTTCCTTGATGCTGCACCGAGGACCATGCTGTTAATCAAGTTCTTGCTGATATAGTCCACAAGTGCTTTAGAGATATCGGTATCCTCAAGGATAACCTCCCTCATTTGAATCTGTACGTGACAATGAAATTAGATATTGGTTAGAACTGGCCATCATGCCAAGACATATCTCTATCATCTTTTATTGTTTCTGTCTTGTAACTGAACAAAAGATGAACCATTGCTACTATATATCCCCATTTATTATATAGAAAATATGAGAACTAGGTACCCCTTTGCGTGCACAGTAGCCGCGGAAAGGAATGAAGAGCTGGTTTATGTCATAATCAGATTCTCCTTCACCCTCTGCATGTTAAAAGAAAGAACAAAAATAATTACCCATTTAAGAAGAATGCATGGCCAACAATCTTCCTTTGTGTTCTTTGCCATATTTCGTTGACACTTTCTTGAAACAACAGGCAATGAAGCAAAAATTAATATGAGAAACGAGAGAAGGTACCTACGGTTTTTATGCCTAACATGGACCAGGATGATGAGCGGGTTGGTGATCACAAGATGATCAATAGCCCAACGTACAGCGTGTGGGCTGTTTTTGTCCCTGTCAATGGCCACCGCAGTGGTGTTGGCAGGTACATTGCTTTCATCAGAGAAGTGAGGAGCCATCAACGGAAACTTGTGACTTGTGGCTCACGGCAATGTTCGCTAAAACTTTGTGATGACAGAATAAGTTGCCACCACCACCACCACCGCCGCCGTTGCAAACCACCAGGCCAATGCCTCCTCCAACTCCAGCTATAGCTGCTATACGAAAAAAAGAAAAGAAAAAAATCCTCCAAGAGAAAGTGGGAAATATAATAATAATAATATTATTGAAAGGCGAATGAAGAAGCCTAGGTTGAGATCTTTGTCCTGGTGTTTAGGTGCAACAGCAATATCCCCATGTGTCCTCCTAGCAACCAAAATGGACGTTCCTCATGTAATGAACCTAAGAATCCATGTCCGCCGCTCGCTTGTTTTAGCCAATTTGACCTGGCCCTTTCCTTCATTGTAAGAAAAAGCTGCATTTAGGAGTTCATTTTTTACTATAATTAGAGCATTTGACCATCAGTCAATCGAGCAGATTCATAATATTTGAAGTCCAAGTCTTGGTGAAGAATGAGTTGCAGAGGTTTATTTGCATGAAACTTACTATATATGGGAAAAACATAAAAGGAAAATGGATTTTTATTAAAAAATTAAATATTAATTTTATAATAAAGTCCAAATATGTAATTGATGTGATGTTAATGTAAGCTAAAATTCATTTCTAAATTTTTTCTTAAAAAAACAATTATTTTATTTTTATACGATAAAGCAATATGTTTATATGTTTATTTACATAGTAAATGCAATATGCTTGCATGTTTATTAAAATGTATTAAAAATAATTTATTTCATATTATTTTTATAATTTTAAAAAATTGAAAATGAAAAAATATGTAACATATAAATAATTACTTGATTAAATAAAATAATAGGAGTAAATAATACATTTGAAACTTTTACTTACTTTATACATAATATATTTATCTTATGAAAAGTAATATGATGCATAAAAATCATATTCATAGTTAACTTTATTTTTTTTCATTAAGTATAATTTATTAGGCTGGGAATTAGAAATCCATCTTTTTCATATGGAGATATATACACTTATATCAAACAAAAATATCTAAATGCTAATTTAATCGCTTACCTTACATTTCATTCTATTAATAATATATAAAAAGTAAACTCTTGAAGACTTAATTGCTATTGCAACAATAGTACAATTGATATTAATAAAGATAAAAATATATATTTAATTTAATTATTAATATATTATATATAAATAATGTTGCGAATGATTTTAAAAAATATTGTTACTAGCATATATATATATATATATGTATATGTATATGTATTAAGGTATATAAAAAATATAAATATTTTAATTGTGACATAAACGGTACCGGCTTAACTTGGCTCCAAAAGTAGTTTTAAGCTGCCAAACGACGTCGCTTCAAAGGTCATTCCTCTTCCCCACTCAAATTCTACACCCAAGCAACGTAAACCCAGAACCCTAATCCACGAAACCGTAAAAAAAAACCATTCGATTGTAAATTCGGACGCCGAATTGAGAATCCGATCAAGAGAAGATGTCGACGGTGTACGTTCTAGAACCGCCGACGAAGGGTAAAGTGATACTGAACACGACATACGGCCCAGTGGACATCGAGCTGTGGCCCAAAGAAGCCCCGAAAGCCGTTCGGAACTTCGTGCAGCTCTGCCTCGAAGGCTATTTCGACAATACAATCTTCCACCGCATTATCAAGGGCTTCCTCGTCCAAGGCGGTGACCCCACCGGCTCCGGCACCGGTAACCTCTCTTTTCTCTCCTTTAATTATTGTTCCCTCTAGCTGTTTTTGATTAGTTAGGGTTAGTTATGAGTTTGAATTTTTTGTTTTTAGGTGGAGAAAGTATTTACGGGAGTGTGTTTTCGGACGAGTTTCATTCGCGTTTAAGATTTAACCATAGAGGTATCGTTGCTTGTGCCAATGCTGGTTCGCCGCATTCGAATGGGAGTCAGTTCTTTATATCTTTGGATAAATGCGAATGGCTTGACAAAAAAAACACTATTTTTGGAAAGGTAACCGGTGATTGCATTTTATATAAATTTGTTTATTTTGTAATCCATACTTGAGTGTTACTGGAACTGATTGTTGGTTGTTGGTAGGTTACCGGAGACTCTATATATAATCTTCTGACAATAGGTGAGGTTGACACTGATCAGAATGACCGGCCTTTGGATCCTCCTCCAAGAATCAAATCGGTTGAGGTAGCTTTTTCTTTGTTATTTTTTTGATGAAGTATAGAAGTAATTGACTGCTAAGGCATGTTGTATGTTGCTTCTTGATCTTGGTTTTTATAACATTTGAAGAGCGTTATGTCAGTGAGTTTTATCCTTTGATTTCCTGTTTTAGGTACTTTGGAACCCTTTTGAAGATATAGTTCCTAGAATATCTTCAAAGCCTTGGATCCAGCCCACAGCTGAATCTGAGAGGAAAGATTTGAAGAAGAAAGCTGTGAAGTAAGTCTTCTTATGCCATAATTGAGCACTTTCTTTTGAGCATGTTAAGGATACTTACGTTTATCATGATGAAGATATTCTTGTTACTTAAGGTATATGCGTTCTTTGGAGAATGCAGAAAGCTGAACTTGCTGTCGTTTGGAGAAGAAGCTGAAGAAGAAGAGAAGGAATTGGCAGCAGTAAAGCAAAAGATTAAGAGTAGTCATGATGTATTGAATGATCCTCGTCTCCTAAAGCAAGAACAGGCACTGATCCCATCTCTATCTAGATGTGCATTTTTCCCATTTTCTTTTCCAACACTTGAATAAATTGTCAAACTATGCTCAAGCCAAGTTACTTGATGCACAGTTTTCTTAAATTTACAGAAATTCTTCTTCTGACCATCCCCTGAACTAGCCTTTGGCATAGTGTGAATTTAATCTGGTTGTCTGATGAATACGTTTTAAAATTGTTACCAACTACTTAATGGTGAACATAACAAGTCATGTAGTTGTGCTGACATGCAGCATTTCTTTGTCATATTATGAGCAATTAATGAATCTTGAGCCCATATTCTTAAGACAACTTATTTGATGCAGGATTCATCCAATGTCAAAACCACTAAGGATGTGCAACTGTCTGTAAGGGGAGCTCTAAGCTCAAAGAGAGAAGGAGCACAGAAAGATGTAGACGTTGAGTTGTCTGATTCCCTTGATCATAGTGACGATGATGAGGCCAGTTTTGATGCACGAATGCGTCGTCAAATACTTAATAGAAGGAAGGATCTTGGAGACCACCCATCCAAGCAAAAGATGCAAAATGGTAACGGTTCAATATGGAACTCTTTTACGTTTTGGATTTAAAAATGGAAGTTTAAAGTCCCCGAAAACTCCTAATAACAATGTGTATTCTCATAGACTGGACTTTGTTGTCTTAATCTTAAAAATCTCTAAATTCCAATTTAAGAAAAACAAAACTAGAGGAAACTAAGATCAAGCGTTGCATTATGTTCACATGTACTAGTAACATTCATTTACAGATAAGGTAACACTGTTAGATAGTAGTTCAGTTCACACATTTCATGTCATGCACACGTGAGCACGCTTGCTCTTGCATGGTTCCTTCTGTGTTTAAAAGCACCCTTGAAACAAGTAGAGATATCTTGAAGAAACAATTGGAATAGAAATTTTCAAAGCTGTCACCCTCCCATGGAAAACATAAAAGAGGCAAGTATTTTGGTTTTTATCAAACAAGATATAAATGCAGATTAAGGAACTGGATTTTTGCATATATGGTTAATTTAAGAAGCTCTAATGTCTGAAAATGGATATTGCTGCAATTATAAGAGCTTTAGGTTTTCTTTCTGCTCAGCTTATGTTGCAGATCCGAATTAGAATTATCTATAGCACCTCATAATGAAAGAGCGTTATTACTCATGACCGTGAGATCTCAGGTGTTGTTTGCTGAGCACCATTATGCACTTGGTTTAAGGTTTAGCATTTATCAATAAGGTTTTGATCAATTTACCGATGTTAAACCCTTGGAACCTGTTGTCAGATGGCTATTCTTTCTAGTGTGCATCCTTCATTCCATCTGGTTTACTTATTACTTAGTGATTTCTCAAATGGTCTTTGACTTGTGGAATCTTGTGCAGGGAGCTCTAAACCAAATGACCGTGAAATTTCTGCACCAAGGTAAAGATATGAATGATATTTTTTTTTGTTGTCTTTTTTTCTACTCTTCCTTAAATCTCTCAAAAGGTTGCTTCTAGAGTATACATGTTTAGCAACCATCCACAGGGGTGTTTGACATGATGCATCTGTCAGAGGTTTGTAATTACATGAAAGCTGCTAAAATTTGGCAACCGAACAGCATTGCTTTCATTAAACATCTTCCTATTGTTTTTTAATGCTTTTTACTTTGTTCCCCAGTGTGTTGGTTTTACTAAGGTCATTGATTTGGTTTGGTTATGATTTAAACCATTTTTCCCTTTGGTTTGGTGTTTCCTTTTTGAACATTATCACCTTCTATTGCTGCTGCTTCACCGGGTTATTGAAGAAATAGAATCTGCTGCTACTGCTTTTTCTTTTTGCATAAAGAACTCAATATTTTTGTGGTGATGTTTACACTAGGTCCAATGATGAAAGAATTGATGATGACCAACCAAGGGTAGAAAAGCTGTCCCTGAAGAAAAAGGGTATGGGATCAGAAGCCAGAGCCGAGCGCATGGCTAATGCTGATGCAGATTTACAGTTATTCAGTGTGGCTGAACGAGGAAGATTGTTGCAAAAACAGAAGAAGCGCAGACTTCAAGGACGTGAAGATGAAGTATGTTTAAAATTTCTGTTTCAAATTCAATGCTGCTTTTCCCTTAATATTTTACTTTTCCTCCATCTTTGTTTTGTCCTTTCGCAATGCAACTCCCACAAGTTTCACTAGTTAGAATCTCCCATTCAACTTGATTTTTAGCAAAAAGTGAGCCATTATGCAACCTTCTCTGTGCTTATGAAAACCTTCTATCTCTTGCTAATCTCAAGAAATAAGAAAGGTGACAGGCCTATGTGAAAATATGTTTCCTCCTTTTAAATTTGAAAGCACATTCTCTGTGCACATATTGGAACTAATTCTAGTCCATAATAACCTACTTTTCTTTATTTGTTGTTTTGTGAATCCTAGGTTTTAGCAAAACTTGAGAAGTTCAAGCAATCTATTTCCACAAAACCAGCTGCTCCAAGCAGTGAGCCTGCAGGTGGTGAAAATGAGGATTTGTCTGACTGGAAAGCAGTTGGGTTAGCATTTGCTCCTGATACCAAGGTTTTTTTTTTTCGATCTCTAGAAGCATTTCAGTAAAACCAACTGCATGTGATTTTTGTAAGTATCTTATGAACAGTACCAATTATGTCATGCCAAAGCAAAAAGAAAAGCTTCTGACTACAGAAACTTTACAAGGTCCCCATGTATACTGGGGTAAGTCCAATTGCAACAAAGGAATCATAGGGAGTATAATCAATGGTTTTCTTCGAATCATCATGCAGGATGGTATGTCTCGCAAGGATGACCCGAATGACTATGTGGTTGTTGACCCTCTTTTGGAGAAGGGCAAAGAAAAATTCAACCGGATGCAGGCCAAGCAAAAGCGACGGGAACGGGAATGGGCTGGCAAATCTCTTACTTGATCTAGTTAAAGGCTGATGAAAATGACAAGTCGGTCCGTCTCACATGCCTGTCTGCCATTTCATTCACCTAAAGTCCCACGAATCAAACGTTGGGAGCTTGAGGTTGGGTTTCTCTTACCAAACAATTTGACGTTGATATTGGAATCAATGTCGAGATCACAAATTGCGGAAATATTGGATATAAATAAAAAAAATCCGTATCATGGGTAAATATGATGGAAAATTGTAGTAAAATGTTAGAAATTTTGAATGAAACTTTAATTTATATTCCTTCATATATTTATGCATATTTTAATTTTGAATGAAACTTCAGTTTATCTCTGTCATCATTTGCAATAATGCCAAATATTGTAAATTCGATGAAAATAACAATACTTAGTTAACATTTCATTTCTGAAAAAAAAAAAATATGAATGGGACTTATTAATATTCGTGGAAATTTTCATGAAATTTCCATAATACGAGACTCTAAACTTTAATTGAAAGAATGCTCTACAGTCTATACAGTTGGAAATAGGTGGATGATGAATGATGAAGAAGAATTGAGTATGAACTGGTTTTTTGGGTTTTCGCCAAACCCACAAAGGTTTTTGAAAATTCCACGATTTGACCGATAACAGAGTTCATCCTGGGGCAAAAGGGGGGAGGTATCTCTAAATAGCTTTGGAGGCAGGGCTGCAGTCTTTCTAGGTAAAGACTCATTCAACAACCACCATCCCATTCTAATGTGTAACATGAAAGAATTCATCACTAGTCAAAAGCTATTGTAGAAAGAACAACACACACAACACACACACGATTGACTATGTGCCATTCAGATTTGCCCACGCTAGTTTCTAGTTTCTACTATATTTATTGGTCCCATGGAATTTAAGCAAACAGATTTGGCTATGCCTAGCCCTGCTTTGGTTATCAACCCCTCTTTTTCCCAAAAAACCAGCAGGCGACAGAACAAAAAGTAGCAGATAATGTTGAAATTTGTTACCTTGCGTTGCCCCCACTTCAGCCCTGCTGTCTAAATGGTGTAACATGCAGCAGAAATTAAGCAATTAAGCCCCCGCCCCCCCCTTCTTACAGTTATCATCTCTGGTTAATTTTGGAGTTATTGAAATTTTAATCACACCCTTAATTATCCTTAAATTAGCTTTCATTACATCAATGGGTCTTTTACTAGTTCGATATTAAGCAAGCTTATAGTGTATATAATTTGCCATTATCATTATTGTCTTAACAGTACGCCATATATTTACCTAAATCTGCATGGTCTAGCGTATCTGGAAGGATCCAAAACATTTGTTTAATACTTTGTTATCCATTATTCCAGGACTATGTTTTAACTTGTAGGAAAAGAATTAAAGATTCTTCCCAGTTTTCTCATGGTCTTTTACCCTTTTCTTTTCGTAAAACAAATCTTTGGCAAAAGCGAAAGGGCAAAACACAAATTAGAAGAGAAGGAGAAAAAAACACGTGGACAAGAAGACATAAATTTTCCACAGAATTGTAACGCAACTGCCCATCCCATCCCATCCCATCCGCAATCTTCATTCAATTCCAATCAATGTCACCAAGCATGCATCAAAGAAAGCATCTCTCAACAGTTCGGATGATTGAGCGCCGCGTCATTGCCATGACTCAAGCCACCGATTTTTGGGCCCCACAATTTCTCACCCCCATTTCCATGCCTTTTTCAAATTATCAGACATTAAAAAGTTTACAAAATAAATATAAAAATAAATATCCTTATTTTTAAAATTTTATTAATTTTAAAAATTATTATTATATAATTTTCTTAATGTTTTATTAATTTTTTTTAAAAAAGGAGAGCTCGAAGCATCGGTGCTTGGTCTCCCCTTAGGAGCATCGATCTGATGCTTTTTCTGAGTAGCTGGCCAATGCAAGGGCATTGCCAGCTGACTTAAAGAGAAAGAAAATATTAAAAAAAATATATTTTTTAAATGTTCTATATTTAATAGTAACGCGTTTAGGGGTTTAAGAGAAAGTATTTATTTTAAAATTTAATAGAATTTTACATAATTTTGATTAAAATTTAAAAAATGAAAATAGTTTATTTTAAAAATAAAAGTTTATCCTACGTTCAAAGAGTATAATCCTATCTTGTGTTCAAAAAAGTGTAGTCTTTATCTTGTATCTTTGCCGTATCTTTCATTTCAATTGTCGTTTAACAGTTGAATAAGGGGGGAGCGGATATCACTGCACCAAATGAATAAAGAGAAGAAAAAATTTAAAGGCAATCCGCGTAATCCAAGGTCACCGTCCCACACCTACCGCCACCATCTCCAAATCTAAACCGGAGAGGACCAAAGGCCGCGTTCACACTTGCCACGTGTTTTTTGTATTTCTACTATATTCTTTCTTTGACATATGCGAGGCTGCGTTTGCACCCCATTTGCAAGCCTAAACCCATTCCAACTAGTTCATGGGATTAACATGTTGGTCAACCCCAAATTTTTATTCAAATGAAGCTGAAAATTTCAGACTGAATTCTACCTGTTTAAGTAAGTATTTTTTCAATCAAATAGGAAACGAACAAGCTGATAAATTAAAACGATATCATATTTTTTTAATTTTTATATTAATATTATTGTTTTTTTAAAGGATTATTTTGGTTTTTTTTTGCTTAATATTAATTTAAAAATATTTTTTCGTTTGATTAAAAGAGGGAATTTCGATGTAGTTATATAGGCAAATTTTATGCTCAAAATTTGTACACCCAACTCACATACGTAACTGAATTATTCAATGATTAAAGAATTAAAAAAAAAAGGGTATAAAGATGAGGCTCATTGGTGTTGATAGATTGCACCTTACCGTAACATTGTCTCAGCTATATAATGCATTTTATGCATCGAGACGCAAATCATTTGAACTCCCCACAAACATTGCCAACGTCAATTTGAATCTCTTTCGCGTTCACACTTGCTTATCCTTTTCACACCTTTCTTCGTTCGCTTTTCAAACCCCGCAAGAAAAACCCAAATTTTTATTTACTTTGTCTTTAATTTCGGCTCTTAAGTCGTACCCTTTTTTTCTTTCTGTTTCCTATATGAAACCCGCGACTCGGGCAACCCGAGGGCTCATTTTAGTTTCTTGTTCACTGTTTGCTTTGAAATGAATAACGGTGACAATTACAAGCGGCGGCGAAAGGAGAGGTTCGCCGACGAAGATGGTTATGATGACGATAGCTGTTCAAGTGATCATGAAACCAAGAAGAAAGATTTGAATGGTATCATCACTTCGTTGCTGTTGCTGGAAGAGCAAGAGAAGCGAGACAGGGACGAGCGGGACGAAGCATCCAATGAGGAGAAATCGATCTTGGAGTCAACCCACAGGAGGAAAACGAGAACCATGCTTGAATTTTACTCCGACCTCCAGGATTACTACTCCGAAATCGAAGAAACCGACCGCGTTAAGCGGAAGAAGTCTCGCACCATGGCCGCTTCGGTCGCCACGGCTTCCGTTAACCAAACGGAGAACCAAGCACCCAACAACCATAACAAACAATCCGGGTCGGGTCAGCAGAGGCGGTTGTGGGTGAAGGACAGATCGAAGGCTTGGTGGGACGAGTGTAACCGACCCGATTACCCGGAAGAGGAATTCAAGAAGGCGTTTAGGATGAGCAAGTCAACGTTCGAGCTCATTTGCGAAGAACTCAACTCCGTCATCGCCAAAGAAGACACGACTTTACGGAACGCGATCCCCGTCAAGCAAAGAGTGGCAGTTTGCATTTGGCGGCTAGCCACGGGCGAACCGTTACGGCTCGTTTCGAAACGGTTCGGCTTAGGCATCTCGACTTGTCATAAATTGGTCCTCGAAGTCTGTTCGGCAATACGCAGCGTTTTGATGCCGAAGTATTTACAATGGCCGGACGAGGATTCCTTGAGGAAAATAAAGGAAGAGTTCGAGGGCAGTTCGGGGATACCAAACGTGGTAGGTCAATGTACACGACGCATATTCCGATAATAGCCCCGAAGATAAGCGTGGCAGCGTATTTCAATAAGAGACATACGGAACGGAACCAGAAAACGTCGTACTCGATAACCGTACAAGGTGTGGTCGATCCTAGGGGAGTTTTTACCGATGTCTGTATCGGGTGGCCAGGGTCGATGAACGATGATCAGGTGTTGGAAAAATCAGCTTTGTACCAAAGGGCAAATGGGGGATTACTGAAAGGTGTTTGGATCGTAGGGAGTTCGGGGTATCCGTTAATGGATTGGGTTTTGGTTCCTTACACACAGCAACATTTGACTTGGACACAACATGCTTTTAACGAGAAGATTGGGGAGATTCAAAGGGTGGCTAAGGAAGCCTTTGGGAGATTGAAAGGGAGATGGTGCTGCTTGCAAAGAAGGACAGAAGTGAAGTTACAGGATTTGCCCGTTGTACTAGGAGCATGTTGTGTTTTACATAACATTTGTGAAATGAGGAACGAAGGGCTTGACCCAGACCTGAAAATTGAGCTTCTTGATGACGAGATGGTCCCTGAAGTTGCTCTGAGATCGGTAAGTTCGATGAAAGTTAGGGATGCCATTGCGCATAACCTTTTACATCATGGCCTTGCTGGCACTGCTTTTCTGTAATTTGCATCCATGAGGTTGGAAAAAAGATATACCCTATTTGTTCTTTATAAAGATTAGAAAATTCTTTCTTTGCATGTAGTATAACATTACCGTAGGGATTAATTCTAATTTTTGTTTGAAGGGGATGTGTAAAATTATATATTTGTCCCCTCTCACAAATGGAATTGATTTGGAGTTGTAGTTTGAGTAGTAGTCTTGGATTTACAATTACAACAAAAACGAAGATCTCTGTATTCCTAGGTTCTATACTTCTTCAATTATGAAATAAAGATATGAATGGAATCAAACATCAAAAATATTCTTTTAAATTTTCAATTTTAGACAATCTTATATGGAATGTGTATGTGATGTTCCTTTTTACTTTTTCCCATTTTTGGTCTGCACTCTGGGGGTGATGTTGGTGGAATTGTTTATAGATCTATGAGGCTTTTATCTGTATAGTGTTTTAAGACTCAGCTGTTCATCTCTGATTGAAAAAAGCACATGAATTGTTCAAAGAAAGTTACTGTTCTTATTCAGGAGTCAGGACCAGCATTTTCTCAGTTGTTGGTTTCTGCATTTTCTTCTCTCTGAAATGCTATCTGCCTCTCTCTCTCTCTCTCTCTCTGTGTTTCTGTGTTGGATGACCTTGAAATTGGTCGCAAGAGAGAGGGTCCTGCTGGCATTCAAATGTGAATTAAGAGCCTAGTGGGCACTTTGAATTTAATCGATGTGAGGGACCTTTGGGCCCATTTCTGTTTTAGTATTACTTTGGGGTTGTCCCTTTCATTTTACTATTCAAGTTATCAAGGTACATGGATTCCCAATGTTGCATTCCAAATTGAGATTCCTTTTCATTTTAGCCAACTGGTGGTAAATGCAAAGAGAAACTTTTGCACTTGCTAAAACATAATGGGCTTTGCTTCTATTATTTATTTCTCTGCGTTATAATTTCTTCTCTGTCAAAACCTGCTTCAAATCAAAGCATGATTCATGCCCAAACACAGGTAAAGCCATCGGTTAGGTTGCCTGGTGGTTTAGTTTCTTTCTGAACTCAAGTCTTATCGTCGTCGTAAAGGTCCATCGCCACATTCAAGGTCTTTTCTTTGGATGAAAGACGAAATATCATGGCAAGTGATTTTCTAGGTAAACGAATTCACGGGTGATGTTTCTATCTTCATGCTGAACAGGGACAAGACATGAAAACGACTTACTAATTCTCAATACAGACAGATGAAGTTGCAAACGGCATAATTAATGATAAATATGCCCAGTTTCTGAAGAAACTTAACACCCAAATGCAACTGCATATTAAAGTATAAACTACAAGACAAATCAAAATGACTTCAACCGGATGGGAACGGCAAGTTTATCAAACAAATAAACCAATTGTTTTCTTTTGACATAACTTCCTATTGTGAATAATATAATAAAGGGGCAAACTTGTAACGCTGGTGACTTCATACCCAAGTCTCAAAAACGATTGCAATGCATAAGTCGTTGGCGACTTTCACGCCATAACGTATAATACAGCTTTACCGGTGAAATTTGTTTTCTTTCCGGGATGACTTGAACCCCGCAGTTTAATGATCTGTCTTTGTCAGAACATTCTTCAATATTCAACATCGACACACAAAAACAGTACTATGAAAAATTCTGTTCACATTTAGGATACCAATCTCATGACTCCAAAAGGATAAGATAGAGGGAGGTTTACCTGTCAGCACCGCGTATATATGATTAAATAAATTGTAGTATGACTTATCCAAAATGCATTGCATACTATTGGCCACTGTCCACGGTTAAACAAATACATGGCCTTGCATTGAAAATCTAGTGTCATGGGAAATTTACATGCAAACACATGAGAAAACAAGAACTCATCTGGAGTACTCTCTTCCATTAAGTTCTGCATAGGCAGTTGTAACAATCGTTTACATGATTGAAGTTGGGTATCAACTTGTCAATACCGTAAAAAGCAAATTGGATTGTTGGTCAACTACACCTTTCGATTAATATTAGAACTCAAACACGTTGATCATCACGATCAGCTCGGTATCGGAAAGGAAAATGTGCAAACTGGATTCTCAAGGCAGGGGAGTCAGGTTTTTTGTCATCAAATTTATAACCTGCAATAAAATCAACATTCCACAACCTATAAGAAATGACTGCTAAGCTGCAATTCTAACAAACAGACACTGCAAGAAATTGATGAGCATGTAGATCTTCATCACGTTTTATGCCCTTTGTCAACTAATATATCCCACACGGATGATGAAGACAAGGATGCCAGCAACAAAAATGTCAAGTATTTACAGTGCGATTAACAAATTATGATATGCCTAGCATTTCCTCCAATTGTTTTTTTTTTCTTCTGTTGCACCATTTATTCTTCTCACTTTAAGTTCTATAAGCAATTTTTTGTGCCTACGTTACCTTGAAGAGCTTGCATGGCAGCCATTGCGAATTTTGAGTCATGGAACTCTACAAAGCACAAAACCATGGCTCTATCTCCACTCTGCAAGTATTTAATGAGACAACCATAGAATCAGAAAACATGAATAAAATTAAACTAATAGAGGAATAGGATGGGAACTATAAGTTAACATCTTGGTATGTTAAGCCATTTGTCCCTGACATTTCTCAAGAGGCATTGCATAGAAAGCCTTAAGCACAAAACCAATCATTGGTACATCTTCTAAGCCAACTTGGTGTTATTCTAACAGTGTGAAGCATGTTGCAGACACTTCTATTGGCTTTACTTCAAGAAGCTCTAGCAATACCTGCGAAGCTAACTTGAAAGAAAGTATCAAGTAGTAAACTTACATGTCTTGGTTCCTTGTGAACAACTTTTATCTCTTTGTAGCCAAGAAATGGACGGAAAAGATCTTTGATGCTAAGTGAAGGACTAAAATGACCATAAAACAATGAGAATTTCTTATATTCAGGCAAAATACAGTTTAGTTTCGCATAATATTGTGAAGCATATGACATTCTTGAGATGTTGATTCACATATCCACGCACACAAGTATGCAAGGGAAACAAGGATACGCCCTACTTCTCTTCTTGTACAGTCTGTTGGAAGCCCATCAACAAACAGAATGTTCGATTCTCCAGCATCAACTTGTGGACCATCACCGTTTCTCGTGGAGGCAGGCATTTCATCAACAGCATCAGGAATTCCAGGCCTCATAACTGCTGGACCATCCTGCCTTTGGCCAACTAAGCTAGGATCTTCTAGAGGAGATGAGCAACCCTTTATGCTAGCTCCAGCTGATACAGCACCAAGGATAGGTTCAGGTTGAATGCCAGCACTTGAACTAATGCCTACAGGACCATCCTGTCTTTGATTGTCTAGAGCAGATGTGTAACACTTTACACTAGCTCCAGCCGATCCAGCACCAAGGCTGGGTTGGGATTGAAGTCCTGCACTTGGACTAATACCTACAGAAGCATCCCATCTTGGGCCAACTGAATTTGGAACCTCTAGAGCAGATGAATAACTCCTATTGGTAGCTGCAATTGACACAGCACCAAGTCTGGGTTCAGGATGAACTCCAGAACTTGGGCTAATGCCAGGAGCATCCTTTCTGTGGCCAACTAAACTTGGAACTTCTAGAGCAGATGAGTAACCCCTAATGGCAGATCCAGCTGATACACCACCAAAACTAGGTTCAGGGTGAACTCCCACACTTGAAAAAACACCTTCTGGAGCATCCCATCTTTGGGCAGCTAACTTTGGATCTCCTAAAGAAGATGGGTAATCCCTTACAGTATCTCTGGCTGATAGAACACCAGGATTGGGTTCAGAATAAACTCCAGAATTTGAAATATCATCCACACCATATCTCCCAGGCTGCAATCTGCTTATCTGCATCATAAATACCCATAAAAAGGAAAGGACATTCTCAGTTATACGATCCCAAAGTTATTTAAAAAAATAATGTAATAGTAGAAATGCCTTACATCCCTCTTTTGAACATCTGAAGAAGCATACCGCATATCAGCATGTTGAGATGCCAATGAGGGTGCTTCAGATGTCAAGTAGCCAGGAAAGCTGGGCCTTGAAACACTTCCTATCGCAATGAAAGTCAACAATCCAGAAATTGATGTTAACTCGTTAAGATCAATTCGAAGACAGGAAATGGAAAGCACAAAAAACCACCTCAAAGGAATCCACAAGCAAAAGATTCAAAACTGGGAAAGTTTATTTTTTATCTACCATTTATTTTCCATCAGTGAGGTATGCCGTGATGAATACCTCAGTGCAGGGCACCAGACAACTAAGCAAAAAAAATTTCCCACCCCCACGAAATACATAGTTCAATATACATCAAGGTTAAATTTAAGGGGTAGAAGAAGCAGGGAAAAGCTATGAGAGACTATTAAAAAAGGGCAATGCAAAGCATTGGTGCAAACGAAGATTCACAGCAAATGCAGTTCACTAAAAGATATCTACTATATGATTTTAAAAATGACACCTTAAGAAGTCACGAATCATTGGGAAACCTTGGCATCAGCCATTACAAATATTAATTATGTTTAAGTAAAAAAAAAATTAAAAAAACCCAATAGCTATATTATACAGGCTAAGAGAATCCTCCTTAACTATCCAAGAATGGTTTCAGCGAATCAACTACAACATAGTCCAGTACAAATGACACCGTTATAACCACATCCATTACAAGACATAAGAAGCTAAATTCAAAGTATAGTAAAGAGTGCAAATTTGAAGACAATAGGCCAAAAGACAAAAATTTGGTAAGAGAACAAGTGAAGTTCTCGAAAATAAAAAAAAAAAATAGTGAAAGCCAAGAGTAAAGGAAGAGAAGAGCGAGCACCTCTTTCTGCTGCAGCAGCAGAGTATCTGTAATAATTAGGATCCCCCATAAGTTTCTGCAACTCTTTCCTTGGCCTTCTTTAACTTTAAAACAGAGGTCCAAAACCCCTTTGCTTATTGGCTTTCCTTTGTATGCTGAATGCTGCAAAGCCCTGAGACTGGAAAAAGGGCAAAAAAAAAAACAAAAAGAAAATAAATTATTTGGGCTCTGTTTGGTTTGGGCCTAAAAATTTAGGTCTCTTCTGTTTAGCTCAACTGGTCTAACAAAGCTTTGGGCCTTGTTTGATTTGCTTAGGTCCAATTGTTTGTTCTATAGAGACTTTTTTTTTTCTCTTTTAATTAATTTATTCTTCAAGTTCCAAATCCACCCTTTTTTTAATTTCTTATGGAAAAAAAAGGACAAAAATATTAATAGCAAGATCATTCTTAGGTAATATTGATGAACTTATATCACATGAACCTTAGATTTAAGATGAACATTTAGATTGATAGGTACCAATCATACCAAATCAAACCTAGCTTTCAAGATATTGCTCTAAATTTGTTAGTTGACATTCAAGCGACCAAAGCCTCAAAATGGGGATTTGCAGTGTTGTCTAAGCAATCTTCAATTACCCAAAAAGCAGTCCTTCATAATTGTTTTAATTTAAACCATGTTTTAATGTTTGGTCATGCATGTTGTAATCACCCATTACTCAAAATCTGAATTTGGTTTGCAAAACCCATTGTGCTGCCACCCCACCTGCAAAAAGATTAGATCTTGAATGATCAAAGGCAAACACAGACAAAGCTTTGTGCCTTAAAAACTTTCCCACACCAAATGGAACAGCTGTCTTTTGAGAGTTGCTGCTAAACTGCCCGTCCAAAATGGGGTCAAACATTGGGGGGAAGATGAGAGACCAGCATATGCCCTTTGCTTTTAAATTCTCCTTTTACTCCTTCACTGTCACCTTACAATGTACTACAAGTGCACTGTTTTTTATATACAAAATGCAGGAGTGACCCCACCGATGGGGATATGATCACATGAGCAAAAACTGTCACTGTCCAGTAATAAATTTCCACGTTAAGTCAGGGGGGCTAAAGACCCAGATGCTGAACTGGTATTTTTTGTACTGGATCATTTGGTGTAGTTATGGTACAACTCACGGCACATGAGGCATTACAACGATGCTTTAAAGAGTCTATGGCAGGGCGTTGCTGGTTTCACAGCTAGATTTCACTGTGAAGGAATTCCTTAGGTTTAAGACAACCACGCCTGCATACAAACAGCTGGTCTTTACTTCTCACATGGTCCTAAAAGAAAGTACTTCCGACCTGAATCACTCCAAAAACAAAATAATGATTTGTCTCCCTTTGATTATACCACCAATAAGAAATTCAAGAAAAACTCCAAATTTACTAAATAAATTTGTCTGATTTTTCCACACGGATTAGATATATATAGTTTAATCAAAATAATTAAGGTTAGCTGTCATTGAAAATCTAAACTCGCAAGTTTAGAGTTTGTTTCCATTACTTGAATAGATTCACTGTCCCAAATGAATGTAAGCATTAGCAATTAAGGTTGTTTAATGTAAAGATTATGACACAAATAGCAAATTTTTTTTTTTTTACCAAATCAATTATAAGGTCATGTTTGGTTGTCATTAAAATTAAAAATTTGTTTCACTTCAAATTTAGATGAAATCCACAAATATTCACCTAAATATTTATATATATATATATTATTTTATTAAGTTTATTTTCCCTTAAGAGGACAATAATGCAGACGGTAATTTTACGTGTGAGTACTAAGAAAAGAGATCAACTCTTAGTCTTTTAAGCAGCACAAGACAGCCAATCACTTACCAAGTATTAAAAAAAAAAAAGACAGACAAGTAGCCCACATCATGTTTCAGGCGAGTGAACAACACTCGCCAATCACAACCCAACACACTGTGGGCCCTCCTTGCAGCTTTCTTCTCTAAAATGTGTTAAAATATCATTTATGAGCGGAAAACGACCCTTCTCTCCACCACACCTCGAAGTGCAACTCACGAGTCAGTCATCGCGCCTGGGAGTTCCCCTACTCATACGCTGACAACACTGCTTAAACTTATTGCTTCATAAATAAAAACAAATAAAGAAAAAAGCCTAACCTCCCCTGCTCTCAATCCCACCCTAAATCCGCTCCAGAGAAAACCGCCACGCTAGCAATTGCCGACGTGGAATGATTTTTATTGGTTTGTAAAGGAAAGGAGCGTGGGTGTGGATGTAGACGACAAAGAGGAAGATCAGTGAAAGAGCTCCGGTTTCTCTTCCATCATCTCTTTGTTGGCTCTGATGCAGTAAATGAGAAAGTTTTTGTTTTTCTTTCAAGTGAGAGAGAAAAAAGTTGAGAGCTTTTAGAATAGCAAATATATAAATATAAATATTTATATCTGTAGAGGGAGAGACACAGAGAGCTATACTCAGAGAGAGAGAGAGAGAGGAAATGGAGGGCATAGAGGAAGAAGAGAGCGGAGAAGAGGAGGTGTTAGGGTCAAGCTTGACGATGGAGAAAGTGGCGGCGGCTAAACAGTTTATTGAGAATCATTATAAAGCTCAGATGAAGAATATTCAAGAACGCAAACAAAGGTAATCCTTTTATTTATTTTTAACAAAATTTGATTTTTTGCATTGTTATCAGCTATATTCGGTTCCTGAGAAATAAAAAAAGATAGGATTTTTGAATGTTTGGTACTTAGATTAATGCATTTTTTGGTGGAATCAATGAACTTTGTAGTCAACTGAACCTAACTTCTTCAATTGCTTCTTATTTTATTTTATTTTCTGGTTTTGAGCTCAGGAGCTGTTGCTGGTCTTGTTTTGTATGTGGCTTAGTTCCATTTTTTTCCTGTCTGTGTTTGGGGAGTGGGAAATGTCAAATTAGGTTTCTTTGTTAGGAATTGGAGCATTTAATGGGAGTAATTGAGCTGTTTCCCTGATCAGATGAGTTCTTGAAATATTGGATTTCAAAGTATCGGAAAGATTTTTGTGTATTTTTCCTTACTTGTCTTACCAATTAATAGTAGGGGCTTATTAAATCTGATCTGGTGCTTGATTTAATTATCATTGCAAAGTTGCTCCAGTTGGAAGTTACTATTAACAGTCCATTACAGGCTTTTATGAGTTGGCAATGTGATGATCCAATCATTTCTATGTAGTATTGATATTCAAGGTCATAGATTTACCTTTTCTATTACTCGTGTCCTTGGGGAAAAAAATAATAATAATGTTAGACCGTAAAGTTTTTATTTTGGAAAATGATGGAAAATTTTGGACTAATATAAATTTGTGTATATTGAATGTTTTGTGATTTGTCTTGCTGTTGTTTTCCATGTGATTTGTCATGAGATACATATGCATTCCAATATATATTCAGTCAAGACAATGAAGGAAGCATGTGTTGCTTCATTGATGTGTAGGGTGTGCACATTTTATTTGTTGAAAAACTTCTGGATTCCAATACTTAAATTGGTTTATAGAAATTCGTCACAACCCTGATATTGTTTTTTGTTCAGCATGCAGATTTTAGTATTTAGATTTCCAAGTCAAATTTATTATGTTTAGCATTTATCCACAATAAACCTACTAATTACATCTGGTATATGATACTTTCAAATTTATTTGATAAAGAATTCATGAACCAATGCTAGAATATGAATTTTGGTTTATTGGGAATTGAGATTTATTGCAATTAGTTTCTTATTCCTTGTAACATTGTTTTCTCCTGATGTATCCTTTTCCAAAATTTTGTGAGTATTTGTAGGCTTGGAATTGATAATGCAGAATTCAAGTTAATAACATGAATTACTTTCATTGCAGACGATGGATCCTGGAGAGAAAGTTAGCTGCTTCAGATGTGCCCAAGGAGGAACAGATCAATCTTATAAAAGATTTAGAGCGGAAAGAGACAGAGTTTATGAGACTTAAAAGGCACAAGATTTGTGTGGATGATTTTGATCTTTTGACCATTATTGGCAGGGGAGCCTTTGGTGAGGTTAGAATGCTACTGATGCTTGCTATGTGTCAAACTATCTGTGTTTCTAATATAAGCTGCGTAGTGCCTTTTATTTGGAACTATGTGCTGCTCTTCTGCTTCTTGTTTATACCACCATTCATGGAACGGCTGCCTTGAGTATATTATTGCTTATACTTTTTCTGCAGGTTCGATTGTGTGGGGAGAAGAAATCCGGAAATATTTATGCAATGAAGAAGTTAAAGAAATCCGAAATGCTTATGAGAGGACAGGTAACATGCAAATTGCCATTCATATAATTGATATCTGTAAAGTTAGAGTTGAGGAGAGTGGAACTTTTGTCGACTATCTGTCTAAATGTTACCTCTTGGTGACACTCACTGCAAAGCAACTTCTTTTGATTTTAAAACTAACTCCAAGTTTGTTGTATGCTACATCACATTAAGGAATGATTGTGTATCTCTTTTCTATTTTCCCCTGATTTTCAGTTGTTATCTGCTCATTGGGTGATACCTACCTTAAAAATATCAGATGCTTTAGAATTTGAAAATTTTGTCATTTTCCGTTAGAGTCCTTTCATACACTGCTAATCTAATAAAATGTATTTTAACTCCTTAGGTGGAACATGTTAGAGCTGAGAGGAACTTGCTGGCAGAAGTTGCGAGCCACTGCATAGTAAAACTTTATTATTCATTTCAGGATGCTGAATACTTATATTTGATCATGGAATATCTTCCTGGTGGTGATATGATGACACTGCTGATGAGGGAGGATACCTTAACTGAAAATGTAGCTAAGTTTTACATTGCTCAAAGTGTCTTGGCCATCGAGTCTATTCACAAACATAATTACATTCACAGGTTAGTGCTTAGCTTTCCTTACTATGCCTCTTTAACATTTGAAGCAAGATACCTCATTTCTGTTGATAATTGTTGCAAGGTATGTTTTTCCCAATCTCATTTGTCACATTCACTCTCTTTCCAGAGACATTAAACCTGACAACCTTCTTCTGGACAAAAATGGTCACATGAAGTTATCAGATTTTGGCCTTTGTAAGCCTCTTGATTGTATGACTTTACCAGCAATCCATGAGAATAAGCCCATGGATGATGAAAATATGACAGAACCTATG